TTTGTTGAGCAGCGAGTTCTTTTTAAATTTCATGATGAAAAGTTTTTCGTCGCTACACAAATTGCACTGATTACGTCCCGATCCGTATGCACTCGAATGTTTTAAAATTGTCCATTTAATTTTGTATGGGCGATCGCCCATACAAAATTAAATGGACAATTTTAAAACATTCGAGTGCATACGGATCGGGACGTAACCAGTGCAATTTGTGTAGCGACGAAAAACTTTTCATCATGAAATTTAAAAAGAACTCGCTGCTCAACAAAAGAAGTGAAATATTCTCGAATTGCGTCCACCAAAAACAATTTCTGGCGGGAAAATACATTCGCGTGCAATCAAACAACGTGCGCAATCATGCACGCGCAAGCAAACAAAACCAAACCGTCAAATTTAGTTAACAGAACTTTAGTTGTCCGAAGATTGTCTGTAAACTCAGGCATGAAACTCTGAGTAACAACGTTTGTTTTGTACTTTATTTAAAGACTTAAATATATTTAGCTCTACAATAAAGTATTGAGCACTCTATATTATATCAAGAAGACTTGAATTGTTATATATATATATATATATATATATATATATATATATATATATATATATATATATATATATATATATATATATATATATATACCGAAGATATACATGAAGGGTGCACGCAACGAACGCGCTGGCCAACTCACAAAACAATCACAAACAACCCACCCACCTTGTTTTGGGAATAAATATTGATCGCTCCATGCAATGTGACCTTATTGGTTCTCTTTTAATCTTTATTTCAAAATAAATTCTTACCTGCAGCATGCGAAAATTGAACAAGGTACAACAGCAACAAGATTTTGGAAGACATTTTTTCGGTATTCAATAATGACCACCGAACTTCTCTCTTCGTTAGGAAGGCTTGCAATTTGATGGCACGGTTTGATAGTCAGATTATGCTCAGAGTTATCTGTACAGATAATGGTAGAATTTACCGAAGTTGGAAAAAAAATTTATTCATCTCAATTATTGTATAAGAAATTTCCACACAATATACACTCGACTAAAAACATCGCAGTTGAAATATTCCCACTAAACCTAGAAAGAACCCTTTTACGGTTAAATTAACTTTTAGTTAATATTTCTGTTTGAATTTCCTGGTGATTTTACCGCACTTCCTACTATAAGATGAGGAAAGCAAAAATCTACTCGCTGGCATATAGTTAATTTATTTGCTGATTCAGTAATTCGTTTACAAGCTTGTCAAGAAAGTTTTTCTGTCAGTTTGATTGGTCCAGCAGTGAAAATTATGCAACTATACAAGTTAGTTAGCTAGTTAGTTAGTTAGATAGTTAGTTAGTTAGTTGGTTAGTTGGTTAGTTGGTTAGTTGGTTAGTTGGTTAGTTGGTTAGTTGGTTAGTTGGTTAGTTAGTTGGTTTGTTTGTTTGTTTGTTACAATTAGTTTTATTGCATTCAAGTTTCGTTTCTTAGTTTATAGTCAAATATGCAATATTTCAGTTCCACCTACCTGAAAATATACCAAGAAGAGGTGCAGATGATTAACAAAATTTTTCAAGAACACTCCACTGCGAACTCGAACTTCGTTGCGAACAGTTTGAAGATAACCACTGTTTTATATCTTACTCTAAGGCGTGGACCATTGTAGGGTGGACCATTAGCATATCTATAGTGATCCTCGTCCAATATTACATTGGCAGCCATGCATGCATGTGCACGACATGCATGCAGTCAAGATGCTACTCCAAATCTCCTAAACCATACTTCCTACTGAGACTAGCGTTTCCGTTACGCCAATTGCTTTTCTTCTCGCTCTCTTAACTTTAATGATCGCCATCATATCCTCTTAACTTTAATTATCGCTCATCGACAACCTTCCAAATTTAATTCAATTTCAATTTATTAAAAAAAAATACATAAATAAAGAAAATACTATTCCCACAAATAGCGAAAGCTAATCGAAGGTGGGGATAGTATATTCAATTTTGATTTAACAACATTTGATATTTAACAAGATGACATTTCGGTATAACTAGGAATAGAATTTATAGAAGTATATAGAGATTGGAATTAAGATAGTGAAACTACAGTCGAAACGTTAGGGTATATTTTATGGAATGTATAAATCAATATAGATGTATGTTGATGACGAGATGCTTTTAAAGAATCAAAACTCATCACGCTCTTTACAAACTGATGAAAAAGAAAATCAAAAGTAAAATTCATCAGACATAAAATCAAACAGACATTCTCTGTATAATCATTGGGACTTCAAGGTAGTTGTCCTCATTATTCAAAATGTTAAGGAGTAACGTGTGCATCTCATTAGCGACAAACACTTTCACATGAAGTTCGCAATTATCTAAAAGTACAAAAGGTGGCCGGCTATTTTGCCAAATGACACTTTGCCGAGCAGCAGACAAGTAGCAATGCTGTTCCAACAACTTGTCAACAGGATGTGTTCGCACTGCTTGTTCCCAGCTTGTTGACAAGTTGTCAACGGCTAGTTGACAACTTGCTACAAGGTTGTTGGGTTCAACAGACTTGTTATAAGATGTTTCAACAACTTGCTATCGTCCTGCAATGGACCATTTGCATTATAAACTATAAATTTTGATCTGGACAAAAATTTCATCACAGCTTGAAAGAGCATCACAAAATTAGTAATATTCCAAAGTTTCGTTGCGAAATGTTGTAAAATGCGGATAATATAGCTTAAATATAGCGAAATTTGCCGTTTTTCAGTCATTTTGTATTACGCACGGGAAATTGGCCCAATCGGGTGTTGGGGCATCAATTTCCCTTTTGTAATACAAAATGACTGAAAATTGCGAATTTCGCAAGGCTATATTATCCGCATTTTACAACATTTCGCAACGAAACTTTGGAATATTACTAATTTTGTGATGGTCTTTCAAGCTGTGATGAAATTTTTGTCTAGATCAAAATTTAGTCTATAATGCAAATGGTCCATTCAAAAATGGTCCATTCGACTTCCGATACATGTCATTCGTATTTTCTATCCTCTCTGCTTGCAAGAAGCACGACGACAAGTGTATTGAAAATCAACACTTACCGCAGCCTTGTATTGGAAGTCGGGGGAATTGTAAGATAAGCTCGTGTAAATCGGATATTTATAATTTTTACGATAAACATGTAAACTATACTTGTTTATTAGCATCGACTGAGTCATGTTTTAGTCGGAATTTTAGCTCAGCTAGCGCTGCCGTTTAGTATACCGCACATTTTCGGTGACGATTAATGTGTTCTATGTTTTCTGATCATCCAAGCCGGAATGTTATGTGGAGGGTTTTCCAAAATATATATGCCATGAAATATATTTCTTGCATTTATATAATTACTATATTAATGAACAATATAATTTTTATACTGGATCTAACAACTATATGCATATAGTTGTTAGATCCAGTATAAAAATTATATTGTTCATTAATATAGTATTTAAACTTAATGGCCTGACCTGTCAGACTCGGGTGTTTGTCTCTTATGATCAATGGAAAGATTTGGTCTATGTTTCTCAGATATCTAGCAAAAATGGACCTCATCCTAATTTCATCAAAATTTTCCCGCGTCAGGTAGGTCCGAAGCCCTATTTTTCATTCAACAACTTGACCGTTCTGACCCTTCTGGGCGTGTTAAATGGAAAGCGCCAAATGATATCGTTCAACTCATTGCTGTTACTTGACTGATTAAAATAACATTGCAAATTCCGGTGCCTGTGCCAAGTTTGGCACCGCAGGCGCTCTATATATTTTGCCCGTGAATTGCTTAGTTTGTCAGTTTGTAAGTTTGTACGGAATCAAATAGGCTACTTGCACAGTCCCCTATAGTAAAAAATCTTTCTAGGTTTTCTAAATTTCATTTTTCGGAAAAATTTTCTTTCCAATTAACCTCTGACTCTCACAACCGACTTTCTGCTGCGCCTTATCTTTGGTTCTGGGATAAATAATACCACCGTTCGATCAGTGCAAAAATCGAAGTTATGGATGCCAAATTCATTTTTAACTAACGCAGTATTCTAGCGGTTTATGGCCTTAGAACACAAGGAAAATTTTATTCTTGACAAATTAACCAAAATTAATTAAAAATCGAGTAGGCTACGTTTGATCCTTGTTAACTTTCGTACAAATCAAGAATTGGTTTTCGGCAAATTATTAATAAGAAATTATCATATAAGTATTGTGAAAATAATAATTTCTCTTCAAACACTAGGAAGGGCAAAGAAATTCCTGTTTCCTTCTCAAAATCGAGTCGACACTTTTCTCCATGCAAGGTTCTCCCTCTATCTAGTTCACTAGCGCGCTGAGATTGTCGAAAACGCGTGAAAAGTGTTTACGTGCATGTTTGCAAAGACCGAGTTTCATTTAAATGTAGAACAAATCGAGACTCGTTTATTCTGACGTCTGGAAAGCTACACAGTGAATTTAAATAACAGAACTTTACTATAAATGCTTACATTTTTACCTATTTATTTTTATTTCATTATTTTTATTATTATTATTCATTACGATCTAGCTATGCTTATTATTTGTAATACCATCACCTTCGGTTATATACTGTAGATGTATCTCACAATTTCAATCATGCAAGTACCAACAAACCCTCTTGAATGCTAGCAAAATCAACTGTGTTAGAGGTGTTTAAATTGTAACACTATTAATAACCAATTTTTTTGTCTAACATTATGGAAAGCAGGGGGGAAATATTTTAATCGGTAGCAGAAACTCCAGTGGCCTTTTCACAATTTTTATCTTTAAAATCAATTAGCTGCATGTATGTAGATTTTTCGACGACAAAAACACGCTGCACCTGTAGGGATAGAATTTCATTCTTACAAACAATCGGTATAATATATAATGTATTTATAAAAGTAAGAGTTAATATTTATAAAATTAACGAATAAAATATATATTTTTCTAACATTTTAGATGCTTTTTGTTTTAAGGAAGACAATGGTTCTCATTGATCAAGAGCATGCAGGCACTTATAAAATTAGTGGTGGCTGAAACCATTATTAATATTGTTCCTGTTATATTAACCTCTTTTGACTAACGGGTATACTTCAGTAACCAAACGACGAAGAGGTTTCTTTCGTACTGATATCAATACATTTCCTGTTATTTTGATACCCGCAAACAAGCGTATGAAGAACTACAAACATAACTTGCAGCAAAAATTATTATTAGCCTAATAAATCGCCATCACCAATAATTTCTCTTGAATGTTAGACAAAAACAACTGTGTGCGAGGTGCAATATTACTAAGAACCAATTTCATTGCCTGCATGACATATGGAAAACAAAGGGAAAATATTTCAACTGAAAGTAAAAACTATAGTGGTCTTTTCACTAATTTTTATTTCTAAAATCTTATGAAAAGAATTTTAAATTTTTATTCAATACTGTTACTACTTCAAACGTTGCAAGATCTGCTATATATTTATACTTTTAGTTGACACAATATCTGCATTGCAAAATATTTATTTGTGTGTTTCAAAAAAAAATTTCTTTAATATCCTTCTGGATCAAATAATGCTATTCCCAAAATTTCATAACTGCAGTGGAAGTGACATACAATCGTTTACTGCCGGTAAATACAAAACTGCATGGGCGTGATCCTCTAAGTTTGGATGTAAATATATCTGATGGAATTGCATGCTTTTCCATGGACCTTTATCTTACACTAGTGCTACATTCGAATTCTTTCTCGGCACTGGTAGCGTGCAATTGTTTGATTTAGTTGAGGGACAACGAGCTTAGAAACCAATATCCGCTTTGCTTGGCCATGCACGCCGTCAAAAGTATATTTCTGTGCCATGAATATCTATAGATTGCATTTGAGATAGTGTTTAGAGGGTCATATATAACTTGGTAAATCTAATATAAGGGAAATGATACAGCTTATTCAGTTAAAGTCGTTAGTTTTTCAAACTGCAAAACTTCAACCTCTAAGCGCAAAAAGCATGATCATGGACATGCGTACGTATACAGGTTGCAATTGATAGCTCCGACACTTTGTACAAAGATATGGTTGCTTTGTTGCACAAGCTGCCGGTTTTGCGTCAAAAAAGTGATTTATGGTTACCCAGGTCCTGTGATTTTGACCTATTCTCGCCTTCGGCTCGAGTTTGTATATCCGATACAACACGGCCGCTCATGTTGTAAATAGTACATAACAAATTTTAATTTTCGTTCCCAATCTATCCCTTTATTCTCACAATTAGGTATGCTAGATATGTTCAAAGTTAACTAACTTCAAATAGCACGATTTATGTTCCTGTACCATTTAACAATTATTACGACCTATATATCTTGACTTATTTACGCACGCAAAAAATTATCAAACACTATAAGTATCCGCCCAAACAGTGTGTATACTGATTCAAAAGTGTATTCATGTTGCCATGCCTGATATCCGCCGAAGCGCGAGGTGATTATCGGGGAATATTTGCCGAGGCGAAGTCGAGGCCAATATTCCCCGATAATTACCGAGCCTGAAGCGAATAATTTTTTTAGTATTTTCATTATTAGTTGACCTGCACGGAAGCACATAAGCGAACGTAAAGCTTGATTAATATCATTATATCGTGACTCAACACACGCAAAATTGGTGATTCGATTCTTATTGGATGTTGATCCTCTTGCCATGTTGGCCATATGATAATTATTTGTCTCCATGATGTCTTTAATTTCTATAGGCCCTGTTACGCGGTGCAATTTTTCATGCAACTTGTCTCCCAATGGCGTTGCGAGACAAGTTGCACGAGTCATTGCACCGTTTAACATGCCTTCCAATGGTCAAAATCGTTGCGAGACAAGTTGCATGATGCATTGCACAGAGTGGAAGTCGGTTCTACTCTTGGCAACGATTGCACTAATTATTTTTAGCATTGCAGCGTGTAACATCGCTTCGTGCAACTTGTCTCGAAATGTTTATAGCTTGGAGAGTTCCTATTGGCTCTCCCCAGTACACGCTTTACTTTAATTAAAATTTGGCGCCAAATAGCGCCTCTACCTAGTCTCTTCGCATGCCTCTGTTCCCAATCGTTGCGAGTTGCATGACAATCATTGCAGCGTGTAACACTTCTTGCAATGCATTATCAAAATCTTTTTTTAAACGTTGGGAGCTATTGGGAGAAAAGTTGCATGAAAAATTGCACCGTGTAACAGCTAGGGCCTTATAGGTATTGTAAAATATAGCGCGCACAGTTGTGTGAATGCAGTTGTATATCAGCACTGAATTTTTTGCATACAGATTGCACTTTTAAAGTAACATGTAACCTATAGATACGCGATAAACCAAGACGAAATGGATGACAACATGGTTATTGTGAATCTTATACTATATGCTATAGCACAAATGCAATTTATAACGTGCTTTTCTATGTTTATAATATATCAATTATTATTGGATTATAAATGCTGCTTTCGACGAGTCAGTGGAAGAGAGCAATGTTGAAGCCCGATTGAACGCCCTCCTGAACACATTATGGCATATTTTCCAATCATTTTATCATCTAATTGCTTTGATAGCAACCTGCACCCACAGGTCTTTATCACGACCACGACCCTACAATGTCATGTTTCTTCGCACTTGGCGAGGTGGCGTTTTAACGTGCTATACTTCTTTTAGCTTCATCTATATGTAGTTTACTTGTTTAGAAATTACTGTCGATCATTTGAATATGATTGCATGCCTTTGCAAATCCCACATGAATCTTTTAATGAGTATGCTATCTCCATGATTTGGGAATTTTTAATCATTTAATTTGAGTTGTTTCATTTAATTTGAGATGCTTTGAGTTGTTTCCTATGATTTACTTCTTTAACTGTATGATATGCACATGTGAATATCTGCAGGGTTTTGGCATGAAGTTTGTTCTTTTGCTAAGATAGTATTCTCATACATATTGCTCAAATTTGTTGGATAAACAAATTGACTCAATAAAACATCGACACAGGACAATGAATATTATATATCACACATCACAACATGCAAATTGCAATTGTTCTTTATCACAATATGTGCAGATTAAGACTATCGTCTGTATTCTAAAACCTCACTCACACACAATGAGTGGAGGCCAATGTCGTGAACTTCTCTTGAGTGTCGATGCTATTTTTAATGAATAGCTGGAGGGTGAGTAGTCACATAGTAAGGTACGAAACTAGCCCTCCAGCTATTTAAAAACAGCAATGTCATGAACTTCTCTTGAGTGGTGAGTAGTCACATAGTAAGTACGACATTAGCCCTCCAGCTATTTAAAAAACAACAATGACACTCGAGAGAAGCTCGGATTGAACTTCCACTCATTGAGTGTGAGCGTGAGTGGGTTTTTCGAATACTGGCGTATGTTCTGTGTTTTGACATGTGTTGAGTATGTTTGCGTACAATTATTACAATTGACATATGCAAAACAGAGGGAAATTATTTCAACCGGAAGTAAAAACTATAGTGGTCTTTTCACTAATTCTTATTTCTAAAATCTTATGAAAAGAATTTTAAATTTTTATTCAATATTGTTACCACTTCAAAAGTTGCAAGATCTGCTATATAATTATACTTTTAATTGACACAATATCTGTATTGCAAAATATTTATTTGTGTTTTTCAAAAAAAATTTTCTTTAATATCTTTCTGGATCAAATAATGCTATTCACAAAATTTCATAACTGTGGAAGTGACATACAATCCTTTACTGCCGGCTTCCAACTTTTTCTGATTTTTGTGACAGCACCAGTTGTGCCGAGATACAGAACTGCATGGGTGTGATCCTCTAAGTTTGGATGTAAATATATCTGATGGAATTGCATGCTTTTTCATGGACATTTATCTTACACTATAGTGCTACATTCGAATTCTTTCTCGGCACCGGTAGCGTACGCATATGCATGCCCTTTATTCGTGCTTGTCTGGGAAATTAATACAAATAGTATAATATATAATAAATACTAATAGTTGCATGGTCAGTTGGCTATCATTGCAAGCAAGGTTGAAGTATATTTCTCCTTTTTTGCGTGTCACTGCCATTGGCTTAAGTTTTTAAAGGTAAAACATATTAGTTTTGTCATATTAGTTTTGTCAAACATATTAGTCATAAAGTGTTTCTACACAGCTCTGCTCGGGCTTCTACAGTGTCGCAGTTTTCAAAGCGTGCCTATATACGTGCAGAGTAATGCTCGAGCTAATTTTTGCATATTTGTGTGATTGCCTTTTACTATACGATAATCATGTATTTTACAGAAATATATCATCAGGCAATATACACATGGTTACCTTAATCAAAATTATGTGGGGAAATAGCTGGAAATGCACTCTCCCGGCAATTGTATAATTTTCAAAATTGTTACAATTCAACATTTCATAAAATTCCAATGGTGCATGTATCATGCTTGCAGGGTAGTTGCGGTACGTGTTAGTGTTTACTAATTTGTCTGTGTGTGTTCTTGATGACTATACAATAATTTAATATTTCATAAAATTCCAATGATGTTTCATGCATGGGTACATGTACGTGTTAATCGTGTTTATTCGTTTGTCTGTGCCTATTGTACACCACATTTTTGGCTTACGATCGAACTCAACGACAATGTGCGAAGCCAAATGACTAATTAGTGCTTATATTTTTGAACTGCATTTCATCAATTGATGCGGTCTTCAGTAAATATTAATTAAAACCAAATTCAGTGAAAAAAGAGGCCGTTCCAGACAGTGCTAACTTGTGCGGGTCGACCACTAATTAATATTTGTTTTCGAAAATATGTCGGCGTCTTCTTCCTATCCTGTTCATAACAATTTCCTGACTGCGACTCATTAATTTACCGATGTTATCCTCCCTCTAATGGATCAATGACGCCCCTGTATACGGATACTATATGCAATTATAGCCTTTCTCACGGCCGATTTTCCCGCCATTTTGGGATACTGCCTCGCCCACGTTTGAGTCTCCGCACCACGAAATTCAACTTTTTAGTATTATAGCTGTTTGTAATGGTATCAATTTAGAGTTACAACTTTTAAATGTCGCTTTTCGCGTTGTTTGAATTGTCTAGAATCTTTCGCACAGTACCCCAAAAATCGCGGATTTTGGCCTTGTGAGTAAGGCTAATTGATCTAAAACTTGCTGTATATCTATCAGTGGATGCATGCATAGCGACCGACGGGTAGGTGAAAGTGAAACCCTTTAGGGTTTTCCGGTTTTACACACTATCAGTAGGGCCGTCGCGACCGGCGAGGCTAAAGGCGCATTTGCGGTCCTCGCACGAAGCTCCTCGCAGCCCGCAGCGAGTGATGCATGAGCACTTTCATCCAATCACAATGCTAAACCGTTAATTTTAATTAGATGCAAGCACTCGCAGCGAGCTGCGAGGAGCTTTGTGCGAGGACTGGAAAACCGCCTTAAAGCAAATCGACGGTGTATAGTATCGCATTTACCGACAACATTTCCGGCGCTAATTAATACAACCTCGTTCCCAGGCTCTTTGGACATTGAACATTGATTAACGAACATTGAAAGTGCACCTAACCTCAATTATTTTTATCATCTCATTCTTAAGAATTTCTGAAATGATATAACAACTTATTTTAAAGATTTTCGTTTGCACACTTTGTCTCTGAGCTTTTCAGTTTTATATAGATGCAAATATCCGGAATTTCACGTCACCTGTGAATAGCGACTGATCAAAGAATGTATAAGGTACAGTTAGATATCATGAAATAAAAGGCTAAATGGTGTTTTACATATAGGTATATGTAATCCTCCCACAACTCCAAACTTCATTTCAATGAATTAAACTCGATAGTGAATACGATATAATATACAAGCTTTTACTTTAAATCATTATGCATTTGGGAGACTTGGGACGAAAATTCCGGATATTTGCATACCAAACAAACTGAAATATCTCAAACAACAAAGTGAGCAAACGAAAATCTTCAAAATAAGTTTTTATATCATTTCAGAAGTTCTTAAGAATGAGATGATAAAAAGAACTGAGGTTAGGTGCACTTGAACACTGAACATTAAACATTTATTTAAGCACGGTAAAATCTTCAGTGTATACTGTATAGGTGCTATTTATTTAGAATAAATCTTACATCTACACTAAACTAATTCTAACTCTAAATACTATATAAGTAATTGCCGTGTGGGAATCCCACTATGGTGACGACAAAAATCGATCTGAGTTCAGTGATTTCTGAAATGCCTTAATGAACTAGCTTGTACGTGCAGAATGAGGGAACATATTCTACAACCGTCATGCCTTACCGTAGCAAAAACTACGCTTCAAACAGTCCGTACGCCCGGTTTCGATAAATTCAGCTTCATTTCAGCATTTCTTATAAGTTATAGTCTGTGCTGCAAAATGAAAACAAATTTTGCAAATAGTCTGGCGCTTGTTTATTGATTGTTCTGTACATCAATATAGACTTGTGCTTTTTAGTACGTAATGATAGATTATCCCAACAGTGCAGCTTCTCTAAGAGAATGCTAGAACTGACGACGTAACTGGACTTCGTAATCACTCTGGTAATCACCCTATTTTGTAATTTTTGCATTATTCCACATAATGTTATATTAAATTCATCCCACAGACAGGGCTACAGTAATCACAGTGAGGTTGAATTAATTGCATTGTATATCCAGATTGCAGTTTGGATTGATATAAAAGGTCGTATTCGTTTAAGAGTACCTATAATTAGCGGAAGAAATTATTTTTACATCTCGTATCAATATGCTTGGACCAAGAATTGAAGCTTTTGTTAAATATTAGACCTATGCAGTGACTTAGCTTTGTCAACTTGTTTTAATTACATTGCCAATTGCCATCTAGGTCAATATGGATAATTTCGTTGGAATGAGCATAAATTCTTTCTTGGCAATATTGAGACTTAATTTGTTCGCTTCTATAACCAACATTTCAGTTTTTCTGTTTTTGAATTCTCAATTGATTTCATTTTCAAGTTCGGACAATGTATTAGTCGTATGACTAATATTCGTATGACTAATATTCGTATCATCGGCGAACATTTTCGGCGAGGCTGCACTGAGACAATTAGGATTTAATTACCTATGCACGCTCGATCAAGTTAGCTGACAAACATGCAAACAAACCGACGAAATGGAAAGGAAATCTATGCTGGAAGAGAATGCGTATACAGTAGAGTAACACGCAACGTTGAGGCCAGCGACCGAAGAAACAAATATCGAAGAAAACGATTGAACCGTCTTGATTGCATGGTCCGGATTGGTCAGTCTCACTTTTGGACCACTGCACCTATTCCCATTGTATGCGTTTTTGAATATAAAAAGAAACTGAGCGATTAGAAAGCGGATTAGGTAATTAAAGTCGAATTTAATTAAAGTATATTGGTTATACAGTGTGTATTAAAAAAAAGGCTAGTCTTTGAAATTCAAATTAGTCATCAATTACAGTGATCTCATTGTTCTAAACTGCGTAGAGGTAATGATATACGCGACGAAAACATGTCTTATTTACAAAAGAGATCAATTATAACTTCATTTTAATGCTGCTTGTACTGTACAGGTTATTTCATTGAGTTGTCCGTACATGTCCCATAAGTAGAAAATCTTTTGTTTTACGGCTCGCTAATTGATTAGCAGTAATTATAAATTCAATACAATATGACTAATTTGAATTTCAAAGACTAGCTTTTTTTTATACACCCTGTATTGCTGAAGCTGAGTTTGAAATTTCACATTTTCTTTGTCAACAGTAAAGCTAATTGCCCGGAACGAGAACTATTAGACGTGGGTGAAAATTAAACTTGGCAACAACTTTTGATTGTTCCTTAGGGTCTCCTTAAAACATCTGCAGGGCGTATCAAAAAGTAGATGTACAGTACACCCTCTCAAATTGAAATTAACCATAATCTATCGTAGTAATTTGACAGCCGTATAATTTCTATAAACACAAGGTCTTCTTCTGCACATGGAAATTTCAATAGTTTCTTTTGGGTTTTTTTGGGACACCCTGTATTCAGGTTTAAACATGTTCCAACAATCAATAGCTTGATTTCCAAAGCCTCGTTTTTATACAGTACAAGAAATTAATTGATTTTGATTTTAACCCGGACTAAATATTTGTTATAGAAAGCGCCCAGCTGGCTTCATTGAATTTAAACAAAAGAAAGCCTTTCGTGCATGTGAAATCCAGGTCTTCATCAATTAATATATACAGTGTGTATAAAAAAACTACCTCGGAATTTCCTAAGAAATCACTTGCAATTCTTAAGCATAAAAGATTTTGGGCACCTGGGAATTGAAATAGAATTGGTAATAGATCATACTACGGTTATTGTCAGTAATTTTGACAGTTGTGTTATTTTAAATTCCCAGGCGCCTAAAATCTTTTGTCTTTAAAACAATGTCGATATCTTGGGAAATTCCTTGGTTGCGTTTTTTTTATACACCCTGGTCCCTGTACAATATACATGCAAATATAGCTTCATTTCGAATATTCATTGTCATTACGCGTCAAAGCTGCAAACTGGGAATCGAAAGCTTGTACTTTTAATCAATATTTAGAACCAGAGAATATCTAAAAACTTACTCATTATGGAAAATACAGTAAACAAACGCTGTTTGTTGGTCACTAGCAAAATTGCCTCGTTGTTTTGGGCTCAGTGCCAGTGTTGACTTTGTCTTTGAGCTTTCGCTATCAATCAAAATCTACAAAGCGGCCAGGCGGTGCTGAAATATTACATGCTATACTTACTTCCAGCTTTCGAATCTCAAGAAACAAGATGGATTTTTATGGTGATTAAGATTTAAGCAAAGTTTCTATATAATTTTAGTTTCTCGTTTCGTGTTGACATATTTATTTGCTCTGACTGCATTGCTTGATTCTTAAATCGGACATGTGAAGCTATATATGTGGGGTAGAAATGCACACTGTTGACGTG